AGCAGAGCTGCCCTTTATATGTTGGTGCTCACCAGCATCAGTGTTTGCCCAGCTCAGGTGATTCTCACCATAAAAATCTTACTGCTGATTCCCCTCCATCCCCCCCACGTTGCTGGAGAATTGCCCAGATATCTGCTGTTTGCATACTCCAGAAAGACACAGGAAGAACCTCTCCTAGTTAGTCAATAAACCCCCTGCAATTACCATTAATTGCTCCTGCGATGCAGAGATAATCTGGCGGCCGAGAGCAGCACTAGGTTGGGATGTTCACTGGCCCAGCCCCAGCTGGATGGGGACCTGGCAGGAGTCAGCCCCGGGGTGAGCCCCTGACCCCGGGCAGAGCATCCCTGCAGTACCACCCTGGGCACTGCCTGTGTCCCCAGCCAGGGATGGCACCCGGCCGTGCCCCATGCCCTGCCCAGCTCTGCCATGCGTCACCCCCACACCACCCTTGTTTGAACTGCCGGGAGATTCGTGAGCAGGATGCAGGGCGTGGGGAGTGGGAACAGCCTGCAGCCGGGGGCTGCCAGGTGCCATCAGATAGTGGTGGGGGGCCCAGCCCCCGTGCCCCGGCCCAGCCCCCGTGCCCTGTCTTGACGCAGGACTTCGTCACTCTGTCCCTCCAGGAGGAAGGGGCAGGTCCTGCAGCAGCAGCAGACCCCACTGCCTCTGCCCCACAGAGGGCACATGCAGCCCTGGCCTTGGGGAAGTTGCTGCTGGTGTGGAGCTGCCAGGCACTCCTCCCAGCCCCCTCCAAAACCTATGGATGAGGCCACTGGGAACTACCCAGGAGTAGCTACCCGCAGAGAATCTAGCTCCAGAGCCAAGTCCTGCTTCCCCCAACAAGGAGGGTTTACTTCTGGCTGTCAGGCTCAAGCCAAGGCCCCCAGGGGTCTCCCACAGGATCAAATCTGTGGCAGCATTTGCTGAGACACAGCCTGTGAACGCTGCTACACCCACACAGAGCAGTTTCACACCAGCGTGCAGAGGCAGGTCTGTTTTTCGCCCCAGGGAGGGAGGAGGATCAGACCCATCTCCACCTACAGCCAGGATACAGCTGTTGCTGCTTGCTAGGCACTCTCCAGGATCAAAGGAGTAAAGCCTTCTCCTGTCCAAACACAGCTGCTGCCTACTATCAGTTCTAACAGAAACAATCTTCCAGAGATGAACTGCCCTAACTAATAGACAAACACAGCAACCCCTCAGAAAAACAGGACTCCACCCTTGACTTATGAAAAGCTGTGAAAAACTCCCCTAAAGGAGCCTGAGATTCTTCCACTAGTCCTCAAGTCAGATAAGGGATGTCCCAGCTCTCTGCCTGGCTGGCTCAGCCAGGCTTGTTTGGATGCAACACAGCAAGTTTCCACAAGCCCCTGGCTATCCCGGGCTGGGGAAGAGGCATGCGCTGTCCCAAGGAGATGCAGCTTCAAGTCTCAGCCTGAGCACCAGTAAACTCGATGCAGCTGTGCCAGAGACTCAGCAGAGCTTGCTAAACTTTGGCATACATGCTGTGGGGAACATGGATGAAAACCTCCGGAGGCTTGGACTCGCCGAGCTGGCTCTACCAGAGGATAAAGGAGCTGTGCTGTTTGAATAGTAAACCCTTAAAATGCCCCCAGCAGCTTTACCCCTGCTAGGCATTGTCATTCAGCTCCTGGCTTCATCCGAGCCTGCAAGAGCTGGAAAATGGTCAAGTGTGCAGTAGTAGAGCCCAAGGCTTCAGTGGCACCTCTGTGCTCCAAATACAGCACAGCAGCCATTGCCAGTTTGTTCTCTGATTGTTCAAGTCTTTTCAAGTCTAAGAGCACAGAGGAGCTGTGATTCTCTGTTTCTTCATGCTTCTAGCCTGGAGAAAAGGTGGCTCAGAGAGGACCTTCTCATTCTCTACAACTTAAACCTGAAAGGAGGCTTCAAGCAGGTGGGGGTCAGTCTCTTCTCCCAGGGAACAAGCAACAGAATGAAAAAAAAAGGTCTCAAATTGCACCATAGGAGGTTTAGATTGGATATTAGGGGAAATTTCTTCAATGTAAGGGTGGTCAGGCATCAGATCAGGCTGCTCAATGAGTGGTGGAATCTCCTTTCCTGAAGATGTTTAGAAAATGACTGACTTGGCACTTAGTCCTATGGTTTAGTTGACAAGGTGGTGTTTGGTCAAAGGCTGAACTTGATTTTGGAGAGCTTTTCCAAACTTAAGGATTCTATGCATCTGATGCTGAGACAAAGCCAGAAATGCAGCCTCAGCTCTAGGGATGAGGGTCCTCCTCCCAGCTGGAAGAACAACCAACACACGAAGGGAAGCAAGACCTGAGAGAGCGAATGACTCCACAGCTCCACTAACCACCACCTGACCCACACTCGCTCACAACCTTTCTAAAAGCCACACAAACTTCCCAGCCCCTCTCCAGCTCTCAGACTCACAGGCAAGTGAGAGCTCTTACTCAAAGCATCTCAGAAAGGCCCTGTCCAGTCCCTCCCCATCCTTCCCAGAATGCCCAGCTGCTTGGCTGGTTACTGCCCCCTTCTCAGCTAACCAAGAGACCCAAAATTCATCTGCTCACTCAAGCCAGGCTGCTTGCAGCTCCCTTGAGTGGAGCTAAGCAGCAGGGTGCATGTACTGCTGAGCCACAGAGCAGCTCTGATCCCCAAAAGCTGTCTCCTGACACAGACTGTGGAGAGCCTAACCAGCTCTCCTTTGCCAGGACCTGAACAGCCTCTGAACACGGACAATTAATTTATAATCCAGTAGCTGTGCCATAGTAGGTGGTAAGAAAACAGCATCACACAGATACTGGGCACATACTCTTTTATTCTGGGGATAAAAATTGCTTATACATTTGGCAGCAACTATTTTCATAAAAGACTTTTATAAAAAATGTAAAAATAAGCAAATATTTTCCATTATTAATATAGGAAAATGCTGCTGTGTGAATGGTTACTCTACAACTTACGAGATAAAATACCACCTTAAGGAGATATTATCTTTACAAGTAGTTAAAAAAAAACCAAAACAAAACAAAAGAGAAAGGCAGAGGGCCATCATATTACCAGGCCAGGCACGGAACTGGCTTCATTCCACAGAAAGCACTCATCTTGTAAAAGGTAGCCACATATATAAAAAGGCACTTGGTTATTTGGGGCTAACAAGGAAAAGCCCTTTGTTTCTTTAGCATTGTTGTAGCAACACTTCATTATTTGCAGTGAATTGTGTACCTTGACAGACCTCCAGGAGGCTGCAGGCTCCTGCCTGGAGATCTGAGTCAGCTGCAGCTGAACTTCACGGGACACGCTGCAGCGAGCGTGCCGGGGAACGCGGTGTGCGCTGCAAAGAGCAGGAACTTCAGAATGAAAAACTTCAGCCCAAAACAACGGCCTCGGGAACCAGCTCCTCCTGAGGCCCTGCCTTCATGTACCATTGAGTTGGATTGGAAAAAAAACAAACAAGCAACTTTTACTCTTGATTAGAATGGAAAGAAACATCAGAGACAATACTGTACATGGTAGGATGTTGCATGGCCACTGCTCGGAGGGGAGTGGCCTTCAGTCCTTTGGCAGCAGCCGACGACAGCCCCAGTCTCTTTGGAACACATGTCTGCAGGGTTCCCCTGAAGAGGTAGGAGCAAACCATTCCCACAAATGTTCACTTCGGCTGCTGACTGGTTCGGAGCCCTTCAGAGAAGTGTTACCCTTGCAGACAAAGCAGAAAGAGCAGCTGTTTGTCCAAGGTCAGCGACAGTTGGCTTCCGTAACTCCAAAACTACCCAGGGAGCTGCAGTATGAATGGCACTACTGTCCCACAGAGCACACGGGGCACCTCAGCTGGGAAATCTTGACACAGGCTGAAGCTGAGAGTAGAGGACAGCCCCAAATCTGTGAACCAAACTGCATGAGGCAATGGTTTCTGAGCTATTTGGTCTGCTGCAGAAGCCCAGCTCCTGGCTTCAGGCACACTGCCACTCCTGCTGCTGCTGGAAGCCTGCTTGGGAGTCAGTGCTGCAGCCTCCGTGTTGGGAGGGGAAGACAAGGCAGCTCTGTCCCAGGGCTGGAGCGAAAGGGGCACTTTTCAAAGGGCTGGATGTCATTGCTGGTGCAGAAGGACACACACTGCAAACATGTAATGACATCATCAACACCTGTTAATAATACCATAAAGAGGCAGCATATGGTATCTGGAGGAAAGGACACACAGCCACCCTTGGATGGAGGGGAGGGGACTACTGT